AGGTCAGAAGAAGGACGGTTAGAAGCCCCCCTAGTCCGACATCGGAGTTCAGTATAGCCATCATTATCAGGGCTCGACTTTCGTGTTGGGGGTGACAAGCCATCACTTCAAAGCGACTTCTCAGGTGTGGGGAAATGAACATACCCATCTCCGGCGGTGCGCATGTCTTACTTCGACAAACACTTTTGTTTGGGTGGAATCATCGTTTGTTCAGTCGATGTCATGTTTGATTCGGAGAGTATCATCTTATAGAAGGCACCCAACCTAAACAAAACACGTGTCTGTGTTGTGACTACCTATGATAGAACGACTTACCCGGTACAATTGTATACGAGGCTTATTGTACGATAGACACACACATATGATTGCACCTATAATTTATAATTAATACAATATGTAAAAAATGAATTATATTGCATCATACTGCTCTTTTGTCCTATATACATATAGAAACCTCAAAACGGCCTTCCAAAACCATATTCTGAAGAGATAGCCTGCTAAACGATGATCACACCAAAAATCCGAATAGGGATGGCCTTCTGCCCTCAAAGACAAGATGACGTTTAAGGCAATTTTTGCTTTCTCGTTAATCAGGTTTTCCCCTTAAATAAATTATGAGCCAACGTTTTCATTTTTTAATCGAACTTCAAATTATCAAATATAACGTTATCAAGTTTCCTTTTTTCTTCTTATTTCATGCACGAAGACTTGTTAGGTTAAATACCTTGCTCTAATTCAAACGCGGTTTAGGTATTGTGGTTATGTAGGTTATTATAAATGAGAAAATAACACTTTTTCTGATAATGTTATATGCTCTTGGTTGGTTCTGTAACATTTGACCAGTGTTTCCCATGCTTGTCAAACTGGCCCCATCCTGATGGCAATCAACAGTAATGTTAGAAACCCTTTTGTGACTACTGAAGAATCCAAACCGCCCCTTTTAGTGAACAGAAAGGAACAAAACGGGGCCATAATGAACCCCTCAATCACCCTAGACAGACAGAAGTGGAAACCAATCACTAGCTTTCTCGGTTAAATAGAGGCCGGGTAGTTCATCAAAGACAGGTATGAGGAAATGATATAAAACCAACAGATTACCTGTGACAGGTAAAGTCGGTGTCATTGATATAGAAATAGAGAATCGTTGCCCCCACACTTGGTCGAATGTGGTCTATGTCAGGCCGATAGCTCCACGCCTAACCATGTTTGATGCAGAACATGAAAACTTAATGAGTTGGGTCTATTAGAACAGCCAAACGGTGCATTGTATCTGGATTAACGTTAGACACACGCGTGTGATGTGATGATAGATTATAACATTATTTGACGGGGTGTTTATATGAACTGTTTACGTGTTTTGGTAAAAATGTAATGCGAGCAATTTATTAATTTATTATTATTAATCATCCACCTGAACGGTTTTCTTAGTTATGTCCAAAACGTTTTGTTCTGTTTCCACTTTTATGGCTTATGAGTTGTAGACAAGCTGTACAAATATCTAAATGAAAACATCAAAGATAAAATTATTACACTGATTTTCTTCAACATACATTTAAAGAAAACTGTACTTCTGAATGAAATGCAAATAGGTAAAACTAAGTATCATGTATAATAAAGTCGCATATTAGTCTACTAGTCAACTGTATACGGTCATCTAGATATATATCTGCGTATTTACTTTTTTTTACTAAACCTTACTTTCCCTCTGGGTCAGCTGTGGTTTAAACGATTGTTTTTATCCAACCTTTTGGCCCTTAAAATAACCGATGTGTCCTAAAAGGACGACCCAGCTGTATGATGCTTTGTAAGTATTTTTTTGGCATACCGTAACTATTACCAAATGTTAAAGGGGCAGCCATATGTGTGTGTGTTACGTGCATCTCCTACTCTGCAACCATTATTATGTATACATGCATCGCGCCTTAGACTGATTCTGTTACCGTAACTTTATAGGGCGGTAAACAAATGTTGTATGCTTTTACAATTAGAACAGCGCATATCTTTATCACAAATAAATAGTTATATATCAATCATCTTTAAAAGAATCATAGATATCTTTTATTAGTCATAACAATATCAGATTATAATGCTTTCTTCTTTTCATAATTCATATCTCTTATTCATATCTAACCGAATATTATATAGATTATATTAGCATAAGAAGACTTTACTATTCATTAAATGCATCTTTATGGGTCTATTTCAATGGTTTACTGAAATCAGCATTATACTACCATACCGATATATAAAGTCCAATTTTTTTATATTTATATAACGAATCTACCTTTAATTGACGAGTTAATTTATCTGTATACTTTTTGTTCTTAGCATATATGGCAATTACATTTTTTACATTGACTACATGCTTACTAGGCTCGGTTTTCGACCTGTATGCATAACGTGCGATGAATGTTTCCCATAAAGATATAGTAAACTATGATATAACGCTACTTTTTTATTGGCAATCTCGCTTACTGACAACATATTTCAAGCTTTTCTTTTTCAATTTTATTATTGACAATTCTCTCATACCCTTACCCTGACGTATCGCTAAATCAGTTGGTAATACTAAGTGATTTTGTACAAACAGTGACTATTCCTCATTAACATACCCTAGACCTATCGGTAAATCAGTTAATAATAATAAGTGATTTGTACAAACAGTGACTATTCCTCATTAACATACCTTAGACCTAGCGGTAAATCTCATTTTAATGCCAAAGTTTCTCAGTAAAATCGGCATCAGTATATGGAGGTTCCAATTTTTTACAAATTTATAATAAAAAGGAAAAGGACAGAAACTGTTATTGTAACCAGCCTTCACCTTAATGATGATATTTTTTGTACGTTATAAACCGGTCGTTAAATGTCTGTAAGGAAACTGGATAAATGATAGTAAACATATTTGATAAATATCCGGCTCAATTTCAACAAAATTCATTTAAAATGTACTATTAAAGTCTTTAATGAACATATTCCTTCAATACTGCGCCGTATTGCACTTTGTAAATAGAGTTTCAGGGATAGATGAGGCTGAGAAATATGACGAGCACTTCCGTTTATGTTTTTCTGAGTAACTTTTGTTAGTTTCATGAAAATTGATAGACATATTCGTTCAAAAGAATGTTGAATCAAATAATACAAACAAGCTCTTTAAAGATGTATCGTTTTTCTGTTGTTTAAATGGTTATAATTGAATACAATTCATGTGTAAATATTAGCAAAACATTATTATCAATATATATATTCCTTACTTTCATTGGATGCATGAAAATAATTTGAACAACTTCCATATATATAAGTCATATTTGAATCAATAAAAATAAATGTTAATCAAAGAACAACATGACTAGTGCTACAACATTAAAACAGGTACATTTCTTATTAAAATAGAGTGGTGTTATTGACATCGTAATGCATGTATCTCTGTATTTACTTTTAGATAATAACAATTTGTTTCATAAACAAAAAATGAAATTGGCCCATATAACTTGACTTCCACTAAAATTGTCAATAAATTGCATAACTAATGATTTTCTCCATTAGAAGATCTATAAATAGGTTGCTAACATCCTACCTCTCAGAATATTAGGTGGGAGATGATGGGTGGACGGTTAATTTCAAAACAGATAAAAACAGCATAAAAAATGAATAAAAAAGAAAAGCATTCTACATAAACCTAGTTATATATGCTTATTTTATGCCATACTTACGAATCTCATTCCGTATATCAAGTTTTAGTTTGCGTGTTGCTAATTTTACGAATAACAAGGCATATGCCAGCGACATGATCACCAAAGAATCAAGTTTAAATCGCATTGGTAAGTGCTCAATGAACATCAATGCAAAAACGCAATCATATAATCTATATGAGTATAGTATTGTTATTTATTGCAGTCGTTAATACAGTGGAAGTATTTTTGAGTAATTAATTGCTTTTTGATATTTGCAATTGCTCCAAATATAGCATAACTGATTTGTACATTGGGTAATATGTATAGTGAGCATTATTTCCTCACCAATGATGGTCCCTGCATAGGATACTTTTTTCTCTCTTCCTGTCTTTCTGTTTTTATATAAATCTTCATTTTTCATGGCTGTTGGTCACTTAGCAAAGCAATACGATTGGCAATAAAGGCATTTAAAATGCAAATGCACACTCGACGAAATTAAGAATTTATCATTGTAGGAATATAGTTCGCAATGATAACTGATGAAAACTATTTAACTGTAAAAATATTTAGTTAAGTAATTGATGGAACTTTGTAAAAAAAAAACAACCACCCAACAACAAAAAACAATAATGATACAAAACAGTTTTTGACACCAACAACTTCCATGATTGCTTTAGATTAATACAACGTGCTTTTATCGATAAATAATGTTTTGTTGCCATTGGTTGTGTTTTCACGAGGATATAAATAACACAAACAAAATATGTTTTATTTTGAAAAACAAACAAAATATATTTTTCCCATTATTTTCATAGTTTTTTTTAATAAAGAAGATAACCTCGCATTTTACAAAAGCTCAAACAATTTTTTTTTAATGATAGCCATTTCATCTAAATAAACTTTTATATACATAAAGAAAAAAAATCTGCTAAATAATACCATTGTTATTATTGATATATACGGTAAAATGAACATTTTAAACGGTGCTTTGCAGTGTTTTTAGTTAATAAGAGTTAACGTATGCGTTTTTTTTATTATTTTAAATAATTAATGTCACCATGATGGCAACTTCACCCTATTTGTTGCCTTGGTACCCCACATGATCGCGGTCACCCAAACTCTTTTGTTCTACAACGCTAATATTCTTTGTGGTAAACGTCCGCATGACAGTCGCTGATGACTGTCAGTCCAGCATTTATACGCTCAGTAACTGCGGTTACGGGCGGTCGGCCTAAATGACGAGCAAGATCATGTGACTCAGATCTGTCTGTGATTGGTCGACAAACTCCGGATTGGGTTACTGTCGTTCTTTATACGCTCTGTGGCTTATTTTATAGAAGGGTAATAGAAATTTATCACATTTAATGATTTGAAATCAGAGTTAGATACATTTGAAAGACATTTTGATTCTGTGTCGTGACAAGGTTTTTGGAGCGGTGATTGAGAACTGACTTTACCGTGCTGAGTTTAACCATGGACGCTGGCTCCATTCTGCTGTGTTCGCAACCTTTCCGGTAAGTGGAGAATACATTCTTTCTGTCCCATATAACTTTTAGCTGTAACAGCAATTAACACTGTTTTTGTTTTTCTAAAACGATATCGGGATATTTCCCGATATCTAGAAATATTAAATAGATTTAGAAGTTGTTTCACATTCTCCCAGCCACCACATAGAGAAATCAAAAGTGATTCATCGTTGATTGTCGGTGATCTAAATTCTAATCAATTAAACACGTGTAGTTTCTGCACAGCGATATGTGATTTAAAGCACTATAAAAACGGCCACCTTATTGATAAAGAGGATAATAGGAAGATAACAAAATTTACCTTCATATCCATATTTATCCAACATTAGGAATGTTTGTATGCATCACTATTATTTATTACAAATTATCTACGATAAAAACAATGTAAATTGAATATAAGCATCATAGTGCAACTTTATTATTTCTGCATTTTTCTAAAATCATTTTTACATTTCGTAAGTACATATTCTTAACATTATTTTCAATTAGGTGATGCTAACTACTAATACATTAACTGCACTCAATATTCTCACTTTAAAAATAGGACTGTTTATTGTTGAAACTGTTTATAATGCATGTTTGATACATCTGAAACGTTTTGTTAATACGAAACAATACATTCATTCATGAAAGGCATATGTATCACCATAAAAACGACGTCAACAATTTAGAGGATATTTCCTGTAACAACATGCAATATTATGCTCTTTTGAATAAATAACATTGATACCTATATATGCTATTTATTACATGTTATAATACATTGGTTTTGTATATATTAAATTTTCAGTTTAAGTTAACGAAAGATTTAAATTCAGTTCATAACAAATTTAGCCTGATATATTGATGATTTCAGGGAAAATGTTTTATTGGTTTCATAACTTTAGTACCGTATATAGATTATGCACTCATTTCTAACCATCAGATTTAGTTAGATATGGAAGAACAACACTGTGCCATATGTAATAACACTGTAAATATTTCAGTTATACAGCACAAAATCACGGCGTGCAGGAGCAACTCGATAGACATTTTTGCCTTAAAACATATACTCAAGAATGTTTTGGGAATTGAAAACTGCGAACCATTCGTAACATTATACTTCTATCCAGATGTTTAAAAAAGCAGATAATAAGATAACTTCTGATATTTACAATGAACATTCTTAAAACTTAATATCTCCCCAAATAACACTTTAAACATAAGAGGCATCATCTAGCGGCGTTATACAATTAAACCTATAAAAGTGGGTATGCTATCCCCTGGTTAGGAGACCTTCGTTCATTTAGAGTGAAGTTTTAGCAGTATTGTATGCCGCTCACGTACGACCCACACCCCAGAACAATACTGGTAGATACACCCCTGGCATACATAGAAACTAACCAACACCACCAGTGTATACCCCGCTGTGGGGAATTAATACTCTACCGCCACTAGGTTCCCCCACGATTAACGTTACAGCCACGCTATAGGCTTGCCTGTGTGTTAAAGGGACAGGGAGACCCATTACATACCTTTAATGTATCGATTATAAATGTGAGAAAACACTGATATTGATAAACCTAATAAACTAAAAAAAGATAATACATTGGTGTGCGTCTCTCTCATGTAAAGAAAACATTTTTATATGGTTGATCATTACTGATTTGCTTCCAGTACAAATATATTTTGTTATTTTGATATGAAACTGAGAAATGTCCTGTCAGTATAACCTGCCATGTTATTTGATAAAATAACGTCTAACTTTGTTATTAACCTGGCAAATATGCTACAACTCCACATGTAAGTCACGCTTTCTGAATTAAATTTTACTCTATATTTCAAAACATTTCGTCATTGTCACTAAATACTGAAACAGACAAACGATGATTTTTTATTTGAGTAAATAGACAAAAATATTCTACATTACCGTTGTATAAGGGCATGTGCTTCTTTAATAGCATTTATATTTTTTTTTTCATTTCTAGAATCGTGACGGTTAAAAATTATCAACGACAGATTAAAAAACAACAATGTTGCATTAATTTCCAATTAGTTTGGCGTGTGTGGTAAATGTGTACAGGTGCGAGAAAGATCATTTTACTTCTAGAAGAAGAAAAAAAAAGTATTTTGTCGTAAAAACAGTTCTTACAAAATTAAATATGTACTTTGTTAGTGGAATTGACAGTTTGTCCTTCTTTTAAAAAACAATCAGAGTGAACAAACATTTAAACTCTAAACATATCAACTATCTAAACAATGATTTGTCAATCCTTTAGAATTCATTTTTATTTCTTTCAAATTAGCAAAAATAGGTAGCATTATTTAATTACCATAAACACATTTAGATAAAACAATTTACAAATAATAACTTTAAGAAAATGTATTCCACGATCTCATTCGGGTATTTATCCAGGTGCAGTAGTAAATGCGTAAATAATTTCATGATGTATGTAAAGACTGCAATATGATAACACACATGCTATGTTTCCTCTTTGTGGCCTATCTCAATTTCAAGATAATTGAATGCTGGTTGGCTACCTATTTTAAAAAGGGCCTGATAATAAACATTTTTATTATGATATTAATGTCATATATTTTTGCATTGGGTATGTTTATAGGTTGCAATTCAAAGTTAAACTCCATATGTGTAATCAATCTTTATGTTCTCTTAGAAGACTGTTGAAATAATTATATGACATGCCATTTCTAATACAAAGCCAAGCGTGATGGCGTGGGACATTGTCATATCATTCATCTACTATACCATTTCCCGTATCATTTCAAAATTGAAAAAAATATGTTTGTGTTTGCTGTTAAATATACATACATACACGAGATATTTAACATGATATTGTCACACATTTTATTGAAAACACGGATGCAATGGCACTTTATATCAGTTATGGTTTGCAAAACCTTTTGATGAAATACAAACAAAAAACAATTTAGCAGAAACTGTGAATCCTATGTCAAGGTAACACACACATATGTGACTGCACCTAAAAGAGTTATTAAATATTACACAATGAATTATATTGTATCATACAGCTGTTTTATCATTTTATGTCTCATAGGTGATGGTGGGGACAAAACCATGGTAACCCCCCCAATATGTCTAGATTTAAATAACACAATGACAGCGTTTTATTTTGCATACATCATAGACTAAATATTGTTTGCAAAAAAGTGCATATTCTTCAGGAACAGTTCCTTGATTTTTATTTATTTTTCATTGCAGTCCTATACCTATGTATGGACACAGATTCGCAGCCAATGTTACCGGAACGGGAAGTGCGCACCCTGCTGCTCATTTCATACCCTGCTTCCGCCCAGCACCATTCGAAGGTCTGTACAGCCCTCCTGGTTCTCTAGCGGCATATAACCTGGCCATACAGGAACACTTAAGGCGGCTTCAGGCACGCCATCTTGGGAAAGTGGCAGAAAGTCCTCGCACCATTAACAACAATGTTTTATGTACAAATAATTCAATTGTAAACATTCAAAAACCTGAGTTGGACACGACACAAATAAATCATAGTGTCCCATCATTACCGTCAAAATTAGATCTAAAGGAGAAGGCACGGGCCGAATTGAATCCTTATGAAAGTTTCCCTTCCTATTCCCTTGGAAGAAAATTGTTCCCCTGCCCAAACTGCAGATACACCACAGACAGGAGGAATAACCTAAAGAGACACATGCTGACAATGCATCAAACTACCTCAAAGCTACTAGAATGTTGTGGCATCCTGTTCAGAACAAAAGCGTCACTCAGAGAACATGCGATGATATTCCATTACCATGGCTACACGTGTTACTATTGTGGGAGAAGGTTTTGTCGGAAGGCCCTCCTAAAGCGCCACCTATCGGTTCATAACGGACAAAAAGATTTTGTGTGTAGTGTTTGTGACTATGCCACAAGCCATAAAAGTAACCTAGAACGCCACAAGAAGGTCCATCAGCGCCCGGAGGACTGTAAGGACACCGACGGATCACGAAGTGACCTTGACAATGATGGGTCAAAAAGTGATATTGACCTTGAGGGAAGTGATCATGTTGAAAGCATGGAAGAGTTGTCAGTGTGTTCAGATAGTGACGATGAAGAAATTAACGTTCATAGTGATTAAAATTTGAACTGAAGTAAGAAAAGTGTGTTGACAAGACATGGCACAATAAGCAAATATGGTTATATGTTACCTTGAGAAAACACTTATCGTCTAGGGCTAGGAATTCACCGAGGTTATAGACAATGAATGACAGCTTATGTCGACGAATGCATACCTAAGTGAAAGTCCTCTCGCGTACATTGGATATGTGCTGCTTTAATTGCCGCTATTACATTATTTAAGTGCCGACTTCCTGACTGAGTATCAATTTGTTATACATCTCATCTAACTCCGTTTCAAGCTTAGGTGTTGCTGGAAATGCTATCAATTATATGACATTGCTCGTCTCATCAAATTATATTGGGATCATTCCACAATAACAAATAATCATTATTGAAATATTTCCATCCTTGTGTTTGATATGTGTTCTGTGTGACGTTGTACTTGTAGTATGTACTGGTGTACATATTAAACTTTGTTGATTAATAAAAAACTGAAATTTAATTGCATCCTGTTTGTGTATTAGACTATCACACGTTTTCACTACCAATATATGAATATCCACAAACATAGTGTGTGTTTGTTCCGTACAGCCGTATTCACATCCTCTACACAATAATACATATTCGAAACAAAAATAAATTATATATTAAAGTCAATCATTGACTTCCGTTTTGTGTATAGTGTTAAGGGAGTATTATAAAGACGTCAATCAATGAACGTCGGAAACCTTTGTTACAGTATACAAAAAACATCCAATCAGCGAGGGAATAACACATCATCATCTTTGAGAAAACTCTAACTACGTCTATATACCTACCCGACAGATGTTTCCGTTTATTATCACTTGATATCTCCTCGACAATAGAATAAATAAACATAACTGAAATAGGAGTCGGTTAGGAAGAGAACTACCTATAACATCTTCAAATTAATAAACGTTTATATACTTGATTTTTTTTAATGAAAAATAAATAAAGTATGACACAATGTACATTCATCACATTACATTACAAGATAGTATTACTTTGAAAGCATGATACATCGACAGGATTTTCTGTTATAGATTATTCGTAGTTGATCAGGAATAGTGTAGTGACTAAATCACCTACATGCATACCATTGTGTGTGATACCTTTTTTATATATATGATTATTTCCGTATATTAGGTCCCGCTGATTAGTATGAAGCACCTGAATTTGGCTCCAATTTCAGGGTAATACTTGTTTCTTATTGTTTGTGATGTAAATGTGCTCCATAAATGTAATCATGAGCAGGAAAACTACCAACGACAGTGATTTTAAAAATATCGATAGAAATTAAGTGCAGGCTTTACACATGGGTCCTATTTCCTATATACTCTTTGGCTATTTTGGAGACTTGATATTCGGGAAATGTATTGTCCTAAATGTTAACAGTAAAGTATAGTTTGTCGTTGTGTGTTGACGAAATGGGTTATATTTTTTACCGTGTGGTTTGACGCTGTGGTATCATTTCTCTTAGCGCATTAACAATATAGTTTAGATTTACTCTATGTTGTACCGCTATAATTTATGTAATTCCGTACAAAGACGCTATGGTTTATTGTGACGCTAAAAGCGTGTGTTGATACAAAATGTTAATAATATAACAATTCACCAAAGCATGCCATTGCCTACTGGATAAACGTCATTATAATGAAACGAGAAAAATAAAAAAAAATAAAAAATGAAATATAAAGAATAAAAAGACAAGGTCAACACGTAAATGACATGATAACATATGTATATATATACTCAACTGCCGTCTACTCTGTCAAACAAGATCGTCATCGAGAAAAGGCAAAGAAAGCCTTTTTCAAAGTAGACAAGTTGTGTATATAGATATCGAACTTATATATAGAAAAAAAATTAGTTTAAATCGATATATTTCAACAGGTAGTAATTTCAGACAGGTGATCGTTTCATAGTAACATGATACATAGTAAAATAAAATAGATAAAAAAAATGATTATATATTTCATATCATACAGAACAGAATAACCGTATTTGAGTTCTATGAAGTTTTCGTTACAATCTGTACTTCGGCATTAAAAGTACTCTATAAATGTAACCCTGCACAGGTTAAACAGAACTGTCATGTAACCATCTGCAATATTATCGAAATACAAAGAGAACATCATAAATACATATAAGATACTAACATTATTTCAGATAGTGGACGATAGTCTTACTACAACTCACACAGTCTAACATCTGATAGGTTCCCATTGTATAATAGAAATGTAAGAAAAGCCATCCTCTTTTTGCTTCGACTTGTTATTGGTTCAATGTAATGTTACAGAACTTATGTATCATCTGGACATTTACTACAGATAAAGATATCAAACAATATTTATTTTCTTATGATATGACAACCGAATGTTTTATAAAGTTACAAAATGACTTGAATTTCATTTCCCTTCCGATCTTGACCTGACATTGTCACCTTTTTTCCGATCTCTATGAAAAGGAAGGGTTATTTTGGTACGGTCGTTAATTTTCCTTTCCTTAGTAGAGCCATACCAACCTCCTCTGTTTATGCAGTTACCATTCCACACTTGATTCGGTACTTGAGAGCCTTTAAGAAGTATCAAGAGTACTTGTTACAGTTTATTTGACACTACAGAGCCCCTCTAAGTATCAGGGGCCTACATGTCACAACAGATTCGTTTTTCCGGAGTCTATACCAAACACCGAGGTTTTCGGGAGAGACATGTCCTGCTAACAATAAATTAATAAGCAGTTTTGTGTACCTGGACAGTTTTAATAGATATGTCACGACGACAATATATCGGTTGTTACCATGGCCTTATATCAGCATCCACCACCATTAAATACATTTTCACTGATGTCGTTCGCGATCTTCACACTTTTCTGTCATTGACCATGAGAGATCAAGGCGTTGAGTGGATGATTTCTGTTCTGCTGATTGTTGGTGTCTCGTTGTTTCTCTACCGTTCCGTAAACATATTGATTGTGTGTTCTGATTTAAATCTTTCTTTTTTTCTTCAAACAATACTCATGAGGATAATGTAACCCTTAAACAAAAGTCGTGAAACATATGGTAAAGTACTTTTACATATAAACCGCTGTTATTTCGTTTCAATACATTACGCCCGTCTAACATTGTCGTATTCCAAAATGCGTTGATGTATAACCAAGTTTTTAACATAATATCAAAGAAATGTGACTTTGAAGTATCTGACCTATTCTAATATCAGGCAAAGTCGGCCTACACGTGGCCAAAACTTTAAAATTTATAAATCGCATTCAATATTGAATATTAGAATCTTTTTGTTTACACAGAGAGTTGTTGATTTATGGAACAATCTTCCGTTTAATATTGTGAACTCAGGCACAGTTAAACAAGTTGAATATAAATAAGATAAACACTGGAAAAACAAAGCAAATAAATGTAGTTCTAAAGAAAAAAATTGAAATCTAAACGTCGCAACTTTTAAAATATGTTTTTATTTTATTATATTATATTTCAGAGCTGACTGTCAAAGGATTAACAAAATCCTTCTTTTTTCAGAAAAAAATATATGTATCTATGTTTCAAACAAAATGTAGTACACACGAACAAATTTAAGAATTCCAAATACACTGTAGTATTGCTAAATGCATTGTAGTAACAATATAGTTTCCCTAAACACTTTGTTATGTTCACAATTTTAATGTAGTACCTATAAATTAATACCGAATGTAGTATTCACAACCACATTATGAATATACTTTATCATTCATAATGTTGTATTCCCAGATAAAACATTGTATTCAAAAACACACTACTGCATTAGCAGTAACACTGTTTATATCCTCCAGTATTCATTTTTATTCTTTAGCTCAAAAACAGTATTTGTTTTGTTGAAATGATTACTTTTTTGTATTGTTTTTTCATCTTAAATGAGAAAAGAAGTACAAAACTCTAATTAGGACACCTATGTAGGCGAGGCTGGTAGGGGTTTTCACCCAATGTCTACCGGTTAGGGTACTATAAAGCATTCTTTCTGGTTTAATTAATGTTTAACTAACCACTCTGTCTAAATGAAGTATTATAAGTTTTCTGTCTTCTTTTATGTATGCATTTCTTTTAAAAAGATACAGATATTGTTCATTTTGTCAATTTGCAGATATAGAATTACTTTATAAATATATGCATGTAATTAACTTTCTTTCATTTAACAATATCGGTGTCAATGTTTGCTAGTTAAGTTTAATCTATGAGCTAAACAAAGTAAGATACGAACAATAAAATCTATGTGAAAACATTCATGTCCCTATTTGCCATCACCATTTGGCTGTTGCCTTTTTATAACACGAAACTAAACAAATACCGTTAACCATCACCCTGTTTTTTCCCACTGCAAAACTGTCAAATGTATAAACCTCATGCTGGGGGTAATGAAGCCTAATAGCAGTATATATGGCAGAAGGCAATATTTGTAAAATATTTATGTTAAAAACGATAAATAAAAATCAGCACTTCGTGATTTTTCGTTTGTTAGTTTGCGTATTGATTGATACTAAGCGTTTAACTTGATTAGATCAGGTGGAAATTTAAACATTTTCCTCATCAATAAGCACATACAATGTAATTTATTATTTGAGCAACAAACAGCAAACAATTTTCACACCAAACTGAAACAAGTCCTTTTTATAAACAACTTTAAAATCGATTTATTTTGAGAGGAAAATACAATTTTACCGTCATTTCTTATTTTATATTTAATAACACACTGACAAAACATAATACAAAAGCGTGCACTTTTGTAAAGGTTGATCCGATCATGGGACTAGCCTGATTGATTTCCACGCTGTACACGTGTCTGAAGACTGATAAAACAAATGATTTGTTATCAGGTGTAAATGGTATGTATTTATTCACATCACTCTCCAACATTAGACTTGATATAAACCGAATCACAGCAGCATCAGACTCAGGTAAATCTCACACCTCCCAGTTTAATTGAGACGATGGTCGCCTCACCTTGCTCGGAGAGCCTTAATTAGCATATAATAGGGGTGCGTATCCGGTATGCCCGTGGGAGTCTGCGCGTGCCCGATAGACAGGAGATAGGTGAAGATGGAACCAATGATACGACCTCACTGATTGGCCATTCCACACCATTACTCGTCCATTACACGTCCCCCTGACATGGCCATGCTCTCTTACCTGCCCGTAAACACATGTAATTGCAATATTATTGTAAAACGTTTTCCTCTGATAAAGGTTTGATTAGAAATAAATACACTTAAAAGGCGTCCTAATGAGCGGGGAAGTGAGGTGAATTGATGTTGATGGAACGTGCGTCCTGTACTGTAGGTAAGCGCCCGTGGGAACATTTACCACCCTAACATCAGCTTTCTACACGTACAAACGTTTGAGAGAGCCAGGCAATTTGATCGGCGACACGTGACCTATTTGAAATTCAATTAGAACTATAATTTATCAAAGGTTTTTGGTGTAATTA